GTCAATCCGAAACTAATTTACCATATAAACGGAAGAAATTGTGTCAAATTATACGAAGGAATTATTGTTTTGTGATAAATTACTGTAAACATATTTCTCTAATAAACTCTCGTTACATTAAAAAATTAGTATCCTAAGTTACAGGAGTACAGTGCAAAATGCCCTTCAAACGAATACCGCCTACGCGCAACACATCAGCAAGTCTGCCGACGTCAGATTTCAACGTGGGGATCCCTGGTAGCCTGTTCACAGTTTAGATTTGAACCATGAACCAGTCCCAAAAAATAATCAGATCAAATCAGATCAGACTAAATTGGTAATATCCGGTCCAATTTGGTTTTGAACTATAAAATTCATAATTCGGTTAAGGTTCATATTTTTTTTTAACCTAAACTAGAACCAGACCGAAACCGTAAAGAAATTGGTGAACTAGAACCGAAAATGAACGTGAATCGGTACAGTGAGTGAACTGTGAAATGTAAACCGTAAACCGAAATCGTGAATGAACCGTGAACTGTGAATCGTAAACTCGGAACCGTGATAAATTGTGAAATATTTAATATTTTAAAATTTTAATTTTTATTATTTAATTTTTTTTATTTTTTTATTTAAAGTTAAAATGAAATACATTGTACATATGGGTGTGCAAAACCAAACTAATTAACCAAACTAAACTAATTTTTAAATTTTGGTTTAATTTTTTAAAATTTAGGTTGGTTTGGTTTGGATTAAAAAAATAATTCAAAATTATAGTTTGATTTGATCTAAAAATCAAACTAAACTATTCTAAACCAAAAACCAAAATTTTAAAAATATTTTTATTTCTTAAAAAAATACAAACACATGTACATATATTTATATGAACATATATGTGTGTACACAAACACACATACATACATACATAATTATATATACACATACATGCATAAATTTTATCCACTCATACAAATATAAGTATATATACATGTTTATATATTTATATTATATATAAATACACACACAAACATGCACGCACACACACATGTAAATATATGTATGTATGTATGTATATATATATGTATACATATATAAATAAGTAAATATATGTATTTACGTTTTATGCATACACACACACATACATATTTTTTTATTTTTGTGAATATATATATGTTTATATATATACATATACACAAATATATATGTGTTATGTATATATATGTATATATATACAAATATATATACATACGCATACTAAAATTTTAGGTTTAGTTTGGTTTGATTTATAATTAAATTGGATTGATTTGGTTTCTAAAGTATTAAAATCAGAAAACAAAAAAATTAAACCTAATTATCAAAAACCAAACCAATATTATAATTTATATATACCCATATGTATGTGTACGTATACACGCATACATATATATCTTTATATTTATATGAATACACACACACACATGAATATATACATATATGTATGTATGTGTGTGTGTATGTATGTACATACAAATATATATACACACATACATATATATGCATATATATACATATTTGATTATAAAAAATTAAATAAATAATTTATTTTAATATTTTTTAAATAATAATAAATCAAACTCAAAATCAAACCAAATCAAATTGAAATTTTAGGTTTGATTTGTTTTGGTTTATAATTAAATGGGTTAGTTTGGTTTTAAAGTATTAAAACAAAAAATTAAAAATCAAACCAAATTATCAAAAATTAAACCAAAATTGTGGTTTACACACTCCTAATTGTACGTAATAAAAAATTAGAAGGTTAGAAGAGTTATGAGTTCTATCCATTAATTAATAAATTAAAATAACTAATTTATATATATATAAAGGAAAAAACTATTTTCAATATTTAATAGTTTAAATATATTAGAAAATAGATTATTTAAAGAATTTCAAATGATTTATAAGTTAATAAATAAATTTTTTTGATAAAATCAAAATGGAACTGAACCGAACTACAGACGAACGGAATCGAATCAAACCATGAACAAACTGGAACCGTGAACGAATCGTTAATGAATCGGGAACGAACCAGAACCAGAACCGTGAACAAATTGGCCTGGAATCGTGAACCGTCCGAGGGCCGGAATCGTGAATTGGGCTGAACTGAACTGAAATCGGAACTATGAACCAGCCCAGAACTTGACCGCCCTTCAAGGTTCCAGTCCCAGTTAATATTTTTCCGAGACCGGAACTGGCAGTTTCGGTTTCGGCCTGGGTCGATTCCAGGCTCGTGAACAAGGCTAATCCCTGGGAATCAATTTGTAAAGGGAGAAGCGCATATTCGATCCTTCAGAATTGGGGCTTTTTCATTTTGGTTTCTAAAACTAAACTTTTATCAATTTAACCCTTAAACTTCTGAGTTATTAATCAATGTGGTTCTCCGATTTTGTCTGCTCCATTTATTAGTAAACAAATTACACCAATGGGTCACCGAATTTTGTAATTTATTTCAATTTAAGACTCGTTTGATAGACTGTTTTAAATAAGGTAAAATAAGTTAATATTTGAATAAAGTATTCTGACCATATAATATTTTTGTTTATTATTTCATGTTTGATAAATTTAACAAAAGTTTAGATAAAATACCAAGTAAACATATAAAATACAAAATTATCCTTTTATTTTTTTTTGTAGTGGACAACCAAGTCAATAACAATAGGTGACAAGTGGTTGTGGTGGGTGGCAATGACAGTGATGGTGTGATAGCAGCAGGCAACGGTGGTAGTGACAGTTGTAGTGGTTGTGGATAGCGGTGGGTAGTGGTGGTGGCAATAGTGGTGGGCCATGAGCAAATGTGGCAATAGATAGCAATGTTAGATGATCTGTGAGTACAAGTAGTAATATTACACGGATAGGCTAAATAAAAGTTGTATAAATTATCTCATCCCTCTCCCCATATAATTTATTTAGATATAATTAAATAATTATTTTGTCTAAACTTTTTTATTCGATTTTATTATTCAATTTATTAAATATCAAATAAAGTCAAATAAGAATAAATAATTTATTCTTATATAGTTTATCTAAATTACCAAATGAGCCTTTAGTCATCAAACTTTAGACTGTACAATTGAGTTACAAAACTTTACAAATTAAAATTTGACCACTTTATTAATTTATCTATCAAAATAAGATAATGAATGGTATACATTATACTCCTCCTAAACAGTAAAATGTTTTTAAAATAAAATATTTAAATAGTTTCTGACAAAATTTAAAATAAAAAGTCAAAACTTGCCATAATAATACTTATGAAACCAGATCCCATTAATGAAGAGGCTCAAAAGTGTATATTTTTATAAGTAATTCATCTGCCCAAAAATAACCTTACTAGTAAAATCATATATTATTTTTGTTTTTTATTTTAAATATATATTTTGTGCTTGTAAATATATAAATAATTTATCATCTAAATGGAATGTCATGTGTGCAATTTATTATCTTATTTTTACACACTATTTTGGTTTGTGAAGTTCAGATAATTATAATAAATTAAAGTTCAATGACCAAATCAAAATCAAGTTTAAATTTAGTTGCCATTGATGCTATTTAGTTATCCAACAATAAACTGAGCAAAACTTAACGGAACGGCAATTTTAATTAATAATTCTGAAATTTAAGGACAACATTGGTAAAAAAGTTTAGTTAAAGACCAAATTCAAAGGAGTGCGCAAATTGGGGGACCAAATAGAGCAATTATAAATCGTTACAAGTGGCTGCCCTTGTGGTCCCCCTGACGGAGCCGACAGCGGCACGCGTTAGACAGCGAATTACCGAGTGGCTTCCATGAATGCTACAAACGTTGGGATCGCCGGAATAAGCCGAAAACTACTGCAACTTGACTCGTTTGGTTTTTGTAATGACTTTTCCAAAACCAAACACTGAAATACTGAATCAAGGGAAAGAATTCATCAGGGCACTCTACCCATTTTTATCAGAGGAGGCACACTCCCCCCTCGATTCCTCCCGTGATGAGAATGGACGAAATTACCCTCCTACCTAAATTTCCACCACTAGCCCCTCTAACTTTGTTGTGATTGCATGATGTCCGAGAATAATATCAAATAAATTTAAGATAGATAAGTAATTATTTACTTTTTATTTTTTTTTAAATTTACACAACCACTGGGTTTCATTTTTGGTGTTTCAAGTTATTCATTTATTTTCTCTTTCAGATAAAATTATAGATTAATTTAATTTACGAATATTACTTTTTAGTAATCATGCTTAAATTAGTCTAGTCAAATTATTAGTCAACATTAGATTGTATTTGATTATTTCCAATTGATAATATTAGGGTTATTAATTCCAAATAGTAGGGGAAATTTTTGATATGTATGATGGATGCTTATCAAATGCTCAATGAATTCTACCATTTGTTATATAACTAATTTCAATCAAAATTCAATTATTCTCAAATTATTTATTTATCCATGAGATTAAAAAATTAATTTTGTTTTTTTTTTTCAATATCCAGTCACTATTAATATAATCACTTAACTTTTTAAAATTATTAGAATAAATATGTGGTCAAATCCCAGTCACTTGGCTTAATCGAAAAATCAGGAAAGGCCACTTGATAATCCTGGAATTCTGTCCACGTATGTATCCACGTGTCAATCTGTCTCGCCAAATTATCGAGAGAACGGAACTTACCAAACAGCCATTAATTCCTCTCATTTGTACCTTAGAAAAGAAAGGAAAAACCACCACCAACGGAATTTTTTTTGTAATATTTGACGATATACGAGGGTATTGAGGTAAATTCGCCTCCTTGAAAACTAGCCGGACGCTTTTGTTGTCTGTCCCAACACAAGTGTGGTTTGTCGTCTTCGCGTGGACCTCCTCGACAAATGACGATTTTTCTGCGTGAGTCCCTGTCCCTTCCTCATTTCTATCGGCTCTCTCTCTCTCTCTCTCTCTCTCTCTCTCCCCCTTCCCCCAAGAGACTGGAGGGAAGAAGAACGAGATTGCCGATGCCTCCATTCATGGATCGTTAGAAGTTTAATGAACATGGGCAACTGCTGGAATGCCCCTACAAAGGTTGGCAGCCTTTTCAGCTCGAAGGGCCACTCCGGTAATTTTCCTTTTCTGAGTTTCATAATCATTCAATTCGAATCTCTGTTCTCCTGTCTCCGCTCTTGGCTTCCTTACATCAATAGTTATTCTATTCTTCTTATGCGCAAAAGCTTTTCAAAGGTTATGACTCGTGGGTGCTGGGTATTTCTTCTTGTTTGGCAAGTGGTTTGGTTGATCTTTTATTTTTAATTTTTTTTTGGGATTATTTTCAACACCACTTGGTTTCTCTATCATCTTTTTCAAGATTTTTAAACGTCTGTTGAGCTTTTGGCACTGAAAGAAAGTTGTAGCAGAATGGTGGATTTTTTTTTTTTTTTTTTTTTTTTAAACTATTTTCGTTTTTCTGTCTATCTCCCTTTCTTTTTCATTCTTCTCCCACTCTTTTTCCAGGGTTTGGTAGGGATTACAGTGGAAAAGGCTGTGCATTTTCAGGGGTTGGGTTGAGGTTGTCTTTGCATCTTCTTGCCTACTTGGCAAGTTAAATACTAATAGTAATTGGCATTACCTACTTTCTAACGTCGATTTTGTTTCTGGGTTTTTGGTTTTGATTGTATTACAACTTCAATCATTTACTTCCACGTTGATAGATTCTGGGACTATAAATTTCTTGCCTTCTGTAATTGATGCAGGGAGTTAAGTTCATTAGCATTTACAACTGAAAGCTAATATCTTAAAAATGCACCTAGACTTTACCCTGTTTTGTTTTATCTAGAATTTTGGTTTATCTGTGTTTGATAAGAGCTGTTGGTGACTACTCTTACAGATAATTAAAAGCATCAGAATTCACTAAGATGTTTGCTCTGGAAAAGGTATTTCCAGTATTAAGCTAATTGCCAAGAGGAAGTTTTCTATTTGCCAATAATGTAATGTCCATGCTGAATCCATTTACTTGTGATTCTAATGAACTGCATCATTCAACTACTCTAGCAGTTTGGTTATGCAACCTGGAATTTGCCACTGAAATTCATGTTAATATTGGGATAGGGAAGCAGAGGACCTGCAACCCTGCCAAGTGGGAAACCTTCAGTCCAGTTTGGTGGTTTTGGCATTCTGAAGTGTTTTGTGCCTTGCTTTTGCCCATCTGTCGAACGTGCTGGCTGGCTGTTGCTTGTTCTCTTCATTGTTACTTTTGAATATAACTAGCTGCTGATTTTGAACTCTCTGGCCTCCATGCTAAAGTCTTATCCCTGATATTGTGTTTTCATTAACTAGCTTGATATTACTTTCCTAATGAAGATGTGAAATTAATAATCACAGCCTATATATATTTCTTACTTTCTGGTTGCATTTAGACTACTCTCATTATGGTATTTATCAAATGGAAAGAAATCTTTAGGAGACTAGTATTGGATTCTTCTTCAATTAGTCACTGAAGTTATTCTTTTGTAGCACACCATATATAGCATCTGTCAAGCATTGATGTATTTGTGTTTGAATGTGGCTGTGTATGGAAAAGCAACGTAAAGAGACATGAAAACTATTGAATTTTCTAGGTATACAAAGCGGGGTTTCCTTTATGTTTGGTTAATTTGCATGAACAATTAGAAATGTAGTTGGGTTGACAAATGCTGCATGCTCACCCTCAAAGAGATATAAGAATGTTATTTACCATGTCATATTACTTTAAGCATTTATGGGGAGATAACTCTTTGAATACGAGGCACATGCCATGTTTGAATACTTCAACTTCAGACAAATGTCACCCAAGTCTAATCTTGGATCAAATTTTTCCTAGAACCACTTGCCAATTTCCTTTAATTCTATACCAACTTCCAGTACTGTTTTTCTCTTTCAGATGGTATGAAGTATCCAGACAAATTTTCTCCTTCAGAGGGTATAAAATGTCACAACCAACCTCCTTCACCTTTGACAGTTACATCCTGTGGAAAAGTTGGAACTGCAAAACTTCCAAGTGCCCAATCTGAGGGGGAAATCCTGTCATCATCTCATGCAAAAGCCCTATCGTTTATTGAGCTTAGGAATGCTACCAGAAACTTCCGTCCTGACAGTCTTCTTGGAGAAGGAGGTTTTGGATATGTTTATAAGGGATATCTTGATGAGCAGACTCTTAATGCTTCCAGGCCTGGGTCTGGAATCGTGGTTGCTGTCAAGAAGCTTAAACCCCAAGGCTTCCAAGGCCACAAAGAATGGCTGGTGGGTTTTCTCTAATCTATGTTGTTTTTAATTTTTTGGGCTTCACAATACCTAAGCTTATTAAAATTTCAGTCAGAAGTCAATTATCTTGGCCAACTTCATCATCCAAATCTGGTCAAACTTCTTGGCTACTGCTTGGAAGGTGACAACAGGCTATTGGTCTACGAGTTCATGCCTAAAGGGAGCTTGGAGAATCACCTCTTCAAAAGTTAGTCAAATGTTTTTCTTTTTGTTTTCTTTTTTGGTTTACTTTTCCTTTAACATGTTATACAAAGCTTACTTTTTTGCCACAGAATATTTATGCCCGTCAAACAATATTTATGAGCCTCTTTCTGATAGCCTTTGTTTAGTTAAATAAGTTATGGATTACATGGTTTCCATTTCTAACCATAAAATGAAATTCTATTCTGTTCACTTATTTTCATATTATAAAATTTGATTATTAGGGAATGCACCACCTCTTTCATGGGAAACAAGGGTGAAGATTGCCATAGCTGCCGCTCGAGGGCTCTTCTTCCTCCACAGCTCAGAATCACCAGTTATTTACCGTGATTTTAAAGCTTCTAATATCCTGCTAGATTCGGTATGTGGATTTAAGAAATAGTAGACCTTACCTGGCCAATGCTCAGGTCAATAATTTTTTTAATGTTTTATTTAAAAAATATATTTGTGATGTTTGTTTGGGATCATATAATACATATATAAATATTTCAAAACAAAGTTAAAATAAGATTCACTTATACCTTGATTGCAATAAAAAAAAAAAAACTTCTCATAATTAACACTTGGTGTTGAAAATTTATAAAAAAAGAAAAAATTTTACCTTTACTTTTTTTGTGGCAAAGTATTCTCAAAGCTAATAATTAGTGTGTGATGGAAGAATAAGAAATGACCATGTTCTTAGTAGTCTCACTTGTTGTATGGAGGGAAAACTCGGTATGTCACTTGTCCAAATTTTAAAACATATTAGTTTTTTGAGTGACTGGGCCAGTTTACTCAGTTCATTTTCCCTTTTTGTTTAGTTTAGTTGGTGTTATTCCATCCAGATTTGACAGTCTCTGCTAGCAATGGTGGTACCGAAGTCCCCTATTGCAATTATTGGGCATATTCATGGTGGTGCTTATGTGGAGACTGGAGAATTTAAATTAATTTGTTTGGATTGAAGATATAATTCAAAGGTTGGATTGAAGATCACTAATGTTTTTCTTATGATGCTTCTTTTGTGTAATGCAGGAATTTAATGCTAAGCTTTCTGACTTTGGATTGGCAAAAGCTGGGCCCACTGGCGATCAAACGCATGTATCTACTCAGGTGATGGGTACTCAAGGCTATGCTGCCCCTGAATATATTGCTACAGGTACATTTCTTTGCTCCAATGATATTTTTGCCCTGTTATTTCTGATTTTCTTCAATAATTCTGTGAGTTTTGATCATAAGCATTTGATGGGAAGTTGATTAAAACTGTGATGAAAATATCTGAACACTTAACAGAAGTAATCTTGCTACTGGCAGGTCGACTGACTACATCATGTGATGTTTATAGCTTCGGGGTTGTGTTGCTTGAGCTACTCACAGGGCTTCGTGCTGTTGATAAAACAAAGGTTGGTGTGGAGCAGAAGCTGGTGGAATGGGCAAAAATCCACTTGGATGACAAGCGCAGGATATTCCGGATCATGGACACCAAGTTGGCAGGGCAATACCCTAGGAAAGGAGCTTGCATTGCTGCCGCACTTGCGATGGAATGTGTGGGGTCCAATCCAAAAGCCCGTCCCGATATGAATCGTGTTTTGTCCATTCTTGAAGGGCTGCCATCATTGAAACTTATGTCCTTAACTTCCCTTTCAGAGCAACCAACTCTATCTAGTCCTGTTACCCCCGAAGGGTCCCCATTGCCGTATCACATGATATCTCCACAGGCAAGATGATCAGACCTAACTTTTCACTTTCTATGTTTCTTGATGTGAATTTTCTTCTTTTTCTAGTTTAGACAGTTGTAATTTTGGGCATTCCAACCTGAGAAATGAGCTTTTCAACGGGCAAATTTCCAAGTGTACATAATTATCAGGATTTTGAAATGTGGCATTCCAGGAAACTTCTTAGGTTGCCAAGATGGACATTTCACCTCTTCTTTATTTCTCAATATAAAACTAATATTTATCCAATAAAAAAATTCTTGTAATATGCTGTTGCATGAGCCGCTTTGCTATTTTTTATGGTTATTTTGATGCTTTTGCAATATGACAATTAGAACTCGCATAAATGGCTTATTTGATGAAATTAAACCTACCTAGAAGTGGAGGGAGTTGTGCGCAGCTATGCCTTTTTCTGGCGTGACAGAACTTGCCCGCCTGTTCTGTTCATGCCTTTGAGGAAAGGCAACTATCACATAGGATGCCCCCATCATTACTGTGATGATAATGCCCCTTGCGCTCTTCCTGACCCAAAATTTAAGGATTATTGAGTGTTTCTGGTCTCTTTCAAATATTCAAATGACAATACATGCCATTACACTATAATGAAACATTTAGACTTCAAAATTTGTGACTTGAAAGAACACATGGAGTTTTCTCTTCTTATCAACTAGTTTATCCGTCTCCAATACGGATAAATGCATCATTGCTAGCCACTCTCTGTACTTCTACATCCAAATCTGAAGCTTTATCACTTTCGTGCCTTACATCCGTCAGTGTCGCATCAAAAATAACATCTTCCAAAATTTCCGAAGCCTCTAACAATTGCTGAATCTTGTTGCTGTCAGAATAATGGTATCAGGAATGAGGTCCTCCAGGGCAAGATACATTGTTATTACAGTACTTAACAGATCCTTAGCTGATGTTTTTGTGAGGGGATTGGTTCCTGAGCTGCTCAATGTAAATCCAGTTTCCAAAAATTTTGACATCTGTTCCAACAGCAGAGAACAAAGATAGCAAACTTGCCAAGTCAAGATATCCGTCTCTATTGGATGTTCGAGACATATAATAGTAGATTGAAAGAAACAAACAAAAAAACCGGTTAGCAAGCTTTCTCATCTAATCATTTTCCCATCCACGGCAAATGGGTATATTTCCATAACTTGCTCCAGCTTGCTGCCAATTGAAAAGTAATTAACAACTACCAAATTGCCCAAACATTTTGAATCTGGAAGTCTTACTCTCTCAGAGGGATGATCCAGTCCATTTGGAATGAAATCTGTCAAATCATCTGTCATGTAAATTGCCAATCACAAAAGTAAACAAAAGTTTCAGCAGGGATGACAGAACCTCAAAATCCTCTTGATCTGGTTCATTCAAGGGGTCAAAAAGATGTCTATAATTTGATGAATCTCAATCCTATCCATGTCACTGCCAAGATTTTCATCAAAGTACTGCTTCGTAGTACTGATCAAGGCAAATCTCTTTATAATCTTAGCAATGTAGTCCTCCACTTCCACATTCACTGTGTCTAGAAATTTTGAGATCATAAATTAAATTAAATCACCTAAATTTAACTATGCTTTAGTAGAGAATGAGAAACCGTGATCAGAGAAATGGAGGAAGGGACAGAGCTGGTGGCTCACTACTTGTGTTCATCTAACAAATTGCATACAAGAATATGCTATATTTATGCGAGTTCTCTGTACATCTGTTCTTTTTCAGATAGAGAACACTGAACATGAGAAATGCAGACGCGATAAAAGATGAATCCACCTGGACTTAAAAGCAGGAATTAATTACACCAGTGGCATTTGGAGGAGAAGAACAAGGAGAAAGTTCGACATATGCTAAGTACATGTTATATTTAACAGAATTCTTTACATTTCTAGTTGCCTAGAGAGAATAATTGGAGATCACAGCAACTGAAGCTGCATAAATATTGTCAATTAATTAGAAGAGAGATATTTGAAGCAGAGGGAACAAGAAATCAACTAATTATTTATATATCTGACTGAATGATTACACTGAGGATACTAACTTGAGAAATGGAGATTACAAAAATGAACTCATCCTCTAGCAGTTCAAGCTATGCATATTCTAAAAACTAATTAGATGAGAGACATTTGAAAAAAGAGAAGAAGAAGAAGAAGAAGAAGAAGAAGAAGAAGAGGAAGAAAGGTTACCTGAATTCAGCTCTGTTTGAAGCTCTAGTAGTGGAGAGAGAAAATGTAACGTGAGAAATGGCGACTTTCAGAGTTCGTATTACAAGAAGGGAAAAGAGGGATATTCAAAAGGTCATGGGAAGAGTTAGTCTGTCCAGCCAGCTACTACTACACCCTTTGCATTCATTGGCAATGGACACGAACAAGGCAGTTAAGGAGAGAGAAAGAGAGAGAGAGAGAGAGAGAGTGCCGCCTACCTCAGGATGCTTAGCCAGAACTTTCTCCACGCCCTACGAGAGTTAATCAATTCTACTCGCCACCGGTCCTGGGTCTTAGATGTGCTCCGAAATTGGTTATCTGACTTCGCTTTCCCACTTCTTTCTCTCACTTGTAGGGAGGACTAAGATGAAGATTCTTTAGAAATGAAAAAGAAGCCTGCTTCAAGCCCTAATATTCCCATTCCATCTGGGCACATAATACACATCTATTTGAGGTGTTATGTAATATAACCCAAACAGATGAGAAGTCCCTCCTGTCTTTTGATTATTTTCTATCTACTACTAAGTATCTTTTCATTGGACAGGAAGTCTAGCATGTTTTGTTTTCAAATATCTTAAACCAAATGGTAATTGATTGGTAAAGGAAAGAACAGAAAAGAAGGATCAAAAGAAATAGTTCTTTCGGTATTCTTGTAAGGTTGATATATGGGGTTCTCTACCAGGTTAAGACATTTTCGTAAATTTAGTACATTTACTCTTCTCCTCGGTAGGTTATTATACTTTCATGTTTATGTCCACCACGTTAATGATTTTTTGACATATGAACCATTTTATTCTCTCTCAGATAATTTTAGTATATTGGCGTCACTACCATGTCTTGGTGTATATATTGCAATAGGCAGCAATCTATTCGCCGTGCTTACATGTCATAGAATTGTCTTGTCAAACCATTGGGACCTAGATTCTCTGGTCATGCTTCAGAGGCTGTAATGTGGACATCCTCGTGACGAGCCAGACTAACGAGTTCACAGCCTACAAAATCAAGGCAGAGGTTGTAATGGTTCATTTGATACAAACTGCGTACCAATTGGGATAACACACTCAATAACTCATAAATGTATGGGTCCCATGTAACATACAAAATCAAGTCAGAGATTGGTCTATTTGATATTAGTTGTGTACTTATTGGGACAACACACCTAACAGTTCTTAAATATATGTATATTTAGTATCAAATAAATTGATTATAGTAGACCAAGAGTCTGTCGTGTGGTGCTGACACAAGCTGCACTTAAATTGTGGCTCGAAATATTTAACAAAATTAATAAACTTGTTTTAATTATTAAAACATTTTTAAACTCGTTATAATTTAGTAAATATTTTTATAAAATAATAATCTTTATTATAATAAAAAAATTATAATTCATTAAAAATTTATTCCTCAACAAATTTGTAAAATAATAGTTTCTAGTATAATAACTAAACAAAATAATAGTGACTTTTCCGAAATTTTTCTCTTAATTGTATTATTTATTGTTCAAAATTTAAGAAATATTATTTGTATAAGAATAACTTTCATTGTGACCATAAAAATAAAATTAACTTAAAAATCTATCTTTCTCATAACTTATTGTTTAATCAAACTAGTTTATTCATTTTTTCAAGTTATGTATATTTGTGAGGTTGGTTGGTGCTTTAATTTATATATATATTCATAATAATTTGTGTAAAAAATGTCACCAAAAGGTACTGCCATATTTCTTTGAAAGAACTAAAAAAAATGTTGTTGTATTGGTGGAAGTTATTTTGTACAAAACTCTGTTTCATATGAAGGATTAAAAAAGAAAGGGTATATTTTGGAATTTGACTTAATGTCATTGGAAATATGTGTTCTTGCAAAAGTACACCCATGAGGTGCACGTAAACCTTTTCCAATTAGAAGTGTCTTGGAAAGTGACTTAAAAGATTAATATAAAACTTTTATTACATATTAAGAACGGTGATATCAATTTTTAAGCATGAAAATTAAGGTGGGATTTAAATTAAATTTGAGACACCAACAATGGTAATTTTCCAAAATACAAACTCAAACTTAAAAATTTTTTGAAGTGAATATGCTTTGGAAGGTGCTTTTTGGAGCCATTAAAAAATATCCATTCCCTAATCAATCACATCTTGTGACTTAACAAGATGCTGGATTGTTAGATAGGAATGGACGGCCATGCACTGTCAACTTTATCTACAAAGATTTTTTACAAATTATTGTTAATCAAACTAATTAATTTATTTGTTTTGATAAAGACTTTTTTCTGTTATGGTAAAATTTAGAGATTCAAATGTTTTTTCCTCCTTAATGCATAAATATAAAAATTTAATTAGCTTAAAAAGGATCCAAATTTTATTTAGGATAAAATACAATTTACTCCCTCAAACTATTACTATAATAATATAATCCCTTTAAATATAAAATATAACAATTTAACCATTCAAATTTACGGGACACTCCCCACCTTGGAGATAACATAGTTGTAGTTAGAATAAAGCATTTAGAAAGCTACTTACTACTTAACTTACGAATATGTATTGAATAGGAATTCTAAGAGGCAATGGCAATTTTCCACAGATATAAGAGATCTCAAGGAGCTAATTCGCCCTCGTAATTAAGAATTTCATAACTTCCTTTAGAGAGCTCCAAATCACCAACCCTTAGGGCGTTTGCTGCATATTATATCTGTGGATTTGACTTCTGCATTTTCTCATATAAATTCCACTTATGAGCCTAACAACTGATTTTCTAAGTCAAATTGTTTTTAAAGGAAGAAAAGGAAAAAGAAGAATAGGCCAATAAATTAACTTGTGATTGTGCATTTAACTGTAATGTAAATAGTGAAGGTTTTTCTCTCCCTGCACGGGGAGCTGTAATATGGGTTGTGATAGCCGCTGTGGCAATTGGTGGTTGTGTTCATCTATGTTAGCAATTGTGATTGTTTGCCTGCAATCCTCCTCTTCCTTCTCTTTATATCAAAGTATTTTCTTTTCTCTGATCTGGAGTTCCCTTAAGCCAGTGTCCCCCCGGTCCCACTCCCTTTTTGACCTCTGGTCTGTTTAGGCCTAGTTCTTCATGAAAGAGGTAATATCGAAGAAACAAATGGAGGAATCTTCGGATAGGCAGAAGGACAATAGACCTTCAACTAGGGGAACCGATGGCTGATATGGTTCAATTAAATTGGATAGTCAGTCATCTCGCATCTGGGAAAGTCATCGTTAGAAGGTATGCTATGTTAAACCATTTTACCCAAGCATGGAGGTTGGAAGGTAAAAGTACCATTTTTCATGCTAAGGATTTCGGAAGTTGGAGTCTTCAGCTTCAGATAGGCAATCTTGTGCCCATCCCTACTAGAGATGTTCATCATCCAGGTTTTCTGAATTCGTCGTCTGTTCCTCAGGTGGAATGCCCTATGGGTTCTGTGCGGAAGTTGAATGCCCAGTACAATTATTCTTTGCCAACAAGCCAAAATGACCTTTTTGGGAGTACTTTCACATTGTTAGACATGGGTTCGATACTTGTAAATTTTATTTTTTTAATCCTCGCAATTTCAATTCAACCAGTTGAACTGACTGATTCTATTAATTTTATTACCATAATCGAATAATAACTCACAATTACGGGTTAATCAGGATCCAAATGGAACTTGCAAACCTACGTTTCAATGAAATAAGAAAGTAATTCAGATGATTGATGTACAATTCTCGTTAAGTTGGATTTGCCATGATTTATAAATGTCTTTTAAAATGAATTTTCCAATACAAATGAAGAGACATAACTAAACAGATCTACACCCTGTTACCCCGGCCAATGGTTCATCTCTAATTACTATTTGCTGTGAATTCAAAAACCATAACATGTTTGTAAATGTCGCCTGGGTTCACAATCTGGGATGGAAAATTCGGTTGGTTCACTGAGTTGGGGAAGCCCTGCGGCTCCAAGCACAACCCTGCATGAAGCCCGTACATGTACCCTCCTTCCCCTTAACTCCTCCCATGACGTTACTCGTATAAAACTGTACCCCGGGAGCGGTGCTCCACAGCTCCATCTTCCTCCCAGACTTGCTCTCCTGCACCACCGCCACCTTTGCCAACCGACCGTCCCCTGCGTTGTCCACGACATAGTTCATGTCGTAGCCTCCCTTTAGCTCCTTCATTTTGCTTCCGATGATGTGGGGTTGAAGGAAATCGTATACCGTGCCTTGAACTGGACTAATCTCTCCGGTAGGGATGAGTTCGATGTCCAACGGGGTGAACCTGGAGGCAAACAGCTGGAGACTATGGGATAGGATATCCCCGCTGTTGTGGCCCCCGAGGTTCCAGTAAAAGTGGGTGCCCAGGCTCACCGGGGTGGGCTTGTTCAGAGCCTTTGCCTTCATTTTGACCTCCAGCTTGTTTGGCTCCGGTAGCGAGTATGTCACCGAGACTTGAAGATCACCCGGAAAACCTGTGTATTGTTCAATTACCAACATTCTTGTTGAGGCTTCAAATATGTAAGAATTTAGGTTTTCAACTATAACAATAGACGAAGGAAAGTTTAGTTTATAGTAAACCTTCTTCGCCATCGACACTGTGGTAGGTGAAAGTAATATGGCTGTCTTGCTTGTAGCTCTTCACTTTGTATATCACTTTTGTGAGTCCTTTAAAACCACCTGATCATTGCAGCAATGGTATTTTCAATTAAGTAATTAATATTAAGTTTCATTAAAAAAAAATTTCAGAAACTCATTTTCAACAATTGTTATTGGTGGTGAAGTTGAACTGAGAAATCAGATTTTTATAAAATTTAATGTTTTATTTAATTTTCTACGTTGTTAAAAAAATATTTAAATTTTAGCAAAATTTTAATACCAAATTCTCCCGTAATATTACTCTATTACAATGAGTTAAGAGAAAAGAGAAGGAAGAAAATAGGTACCATGGATGGTGTTGTTTCCGATATTAGGAGTGAGTTGTAAGTAACCCATTTAGGGTAAATTGAGCCCCTTTGATTCTGTTAAAAACACGCCCAATGAAGGAACCAAAGAAGAAATAATCATTCTGCAACATCAACAACATATATGAGCTTTTGGAGCTTGGAAATATTTCAACTCCTACAACGTGAATTGTTTTCTACCTGGGAATTTACGTACCAAACATGGGACAAGGAGGAAAATATTTTTTTATTTGCGTTTTTTCATTAACTTTCTTTAATTCAAATTGTTAATTTTCATCTTGGCCAACAATATTTCTTCGTAAATGAGATATTTTTATTTAGTTTTTCTTTTGTATTCTAAACTCTCCAACATCCCATACATTGTAATGGAAAGAAATTCAGTGGCATCTCACAAAACGATTCTCTTGTGGGTGTGGGGGAGGGGGAGGGGGGGGGGGGGCCTTGAATTATTAGATTTGAAGGGCTAAGTATAATTATATAAATGATAGTTTGGAACTCGAGAGAGGGGCAAGGCCATACAGGCCCTCCCCCCTCCCGCCTTCCATCTCTTCAATATATATTATTATGCATGATATGCCTCCGACAATATTAAAAGGCAGTGGGAAGGAGAAGCATTCAAACCTTATACTCATCTACGGTCTCAAGCCCAAGAGCGATATCATCTAACTTCCCTGAAACAACAAACGGTTGATACCATAATAGGTTAGAAAAAGAAGACAAGAAGAACAAGAGCAGAGAGAGAGAGAGAGACCATTTTTATCAGGGACGACAACGGAGAGAAGGGTTGCACCAAAGTTGGTGAGCTTCACGGTGAGATCTCCTCTTTTGAGTTCATAAACCCCGATCTCTGGCTCTGCTCCAACATAATTGCAACAAACCCACAAGGTCACTAAAGCATGGCAAACCAACAGAGAGAGATTTTTGGCCATTTGCAAACACAGTTGCAAATGGAGAAGGGGAAGACAGGGGCTTAAAGGGTGAGACTGCTGTGGTGGTTATAAAGGGAGTTTCCAGGAGAAGGTTTTTGGATTAATGTTAAATTTAGTAAGGTTCTGTTGGCCTTGAACAATGGACCTTGTTTTTTGGAATTTCAAAGCTTAAATTAAGTAATAATTCCTCCTGGGCATAACTCAAAATAGCCAATTGTTATCTATTGATCTCCCCATTTCTGGGAAGGCCAGGGATCTTCTAAATTTTTCTTTCTGACTAATTCAAGAGTCCGTTTATTATGCAAAATTAACCCCCCAAAAATGTAAAATAAAAAAAATTAAAATAAGGAAATATTAATCACCCCACCTGGTTTCGTACCAACCTTCTACTCCATTCCTTCTCTCCAAATCATTTCAACTTACCATAGCCTCTCATGCAAAACGGTTCCACAGTTTATTATTGTCACACCCCACCCTTCCTAAATTACCCATGCGAGGCATGACAGCGGGGTAGTGGCCAACACCTCCCGGTATTTAAAATCTGGCAGCATGCTGGCCACTATGACCCCTCGTCATATCTGCTAGGGTAACCTGATCTGTAAAACCTGTAACATGTAACATTTATATGCAAAAATATACTACTAGACAATAAAACAATTTCATATTCCTAAACACATACTCTGCTTATGCAGCAGCCATAATAATCACATGCACAAACTAAGCATATCCCATATGAATATTAAACATCTACTGAAGAACCCCAATAATAACAAAATGGTAAACAACATCCCAAAATAAGATATCTTTTTTCTTTGCCTTATGGTATGACTACAAAATTTACTACAAAATTGTATTACTACTAATCAGCCCCAAAAATATCCTGTTGGCCCACCTCCACTAGTGTGATGTGAAACTAGGTGCGAATACTCGGCAAATGATGATTAGCTACTATGATCAGTTTGACACTGCAAAAATAAAATAGTATGAGAACTAAAGTCCCAATGAATAGCACATCGCCTAAACTTAGCGGAAACAGAGAGGATTTCATAATAACACATATATAAAATATGGTTAAAAGCCTGAGTAATCATAAAAAATACATGAGTAGAACATTACAGAAAGTCTGCTTTATTTTCTGAGTTCACCGTAATATTCAAAAAAACAAAAGAGCATAAAAGAGGCATAAACATCATAATCATGTACTACATAACATATAGCTCTGATCGGATGTGCACAACCGACAATGTTTGAGGGCAGTAAAATATAAAAGTAAAGTCTGGCCCATACTCGGGCAAAATATATTGGGCGCTACTACACTATGTAGCCTGCACTGTGGGTCACCACTTCAGGTCAGACAACACAGTCTGTGGTGTCTGGGACCCCGCTAGGTCTAATGTCATAATCTAGACTGTAGATTTGCCACCTGCCCCAGATGGCTGCCCAACATTCTCAGTCTGAGTGCCGAAGTACCAAAATCTCACAAAATCATAAAATCCGCAATTATATTGGAATTCAGAACATAGACATTCTGTTTCCATGTTTTCATAATAAAATACATTCATGTTCTATAAAACAATTTATAACTATCGTAAAACATGCATTTTATATAAAAAAAGAAAATCTAAGTTTAGAAGATATGCCACTCACAGTGTAGATAAGCTCTATGGATGACTGGTGGGATCTGTCCGACCAGTATCAGGCTCGGCTTGGTCTCCTTCTCCTACAAATGGAGAAAATGCAAACATAAGTAAAGTAGGCGTATGATGCAATGCATGCCAAAAGTTCTAGATGCTCTAAATTCTACTTAACTTTGGAATTGTGCTCTTGCTCATTCTTCATGTTTTTATTTCTTTGAAAATCATCCTTAATCTCTTCCTTAGCTTAATTATGCTTAGATTTTTAATTTCATGAAAAACTCTTTACAAGTCATAATTCATTTCTTCAATATCTTAATTTGTTAGAAAAAAAAATGCTAACACTCATCTAAGAGGCTAGAACTCAAAGTTGTTGACCTCTTTGCCCTTTTTTCTTTCTTAACTTATGTCCATGCTATAGTCCCTCTTTAACCCTTATTTCTACCCTCTATCTTATGCCCCATATGAGACTCACCACTCCCCAAAGTTCTCTTCCAAAATCAGAATTTTTGCTTGAAGAATTTTCTGCACTTATGGCAAGGTTTTCTTAATTAGGTAACTTTAGTTTTTACGTCAAATTGGGTCTTTCTTAATGCTTTCTTACTAAATTAGATTGTTCATCTCTTAAAGCACTTATTTAGCTTGGTTTAGGACAGAATTTGCCCTCTAAAATGGTTCAGCCAACATGAATAAATTGCAGAAATTTTTTGTTAGAAAATTTCCTGCACATCCTCTCTTGTTTACTAATTAAGCTATGCATGATTTTGAGGTAAATTCTTAATTTCCTAAATTTTCCTTTTTAAGTTAGATTAACCACCATCTAAGCTAATCATTAAACCTGGTTTTAAGCCCACTCCAGCCCCTAGAAATTTCGTGCAACCCAAGGACCTTGCAGAATTTTTATCACAGAAAATTTTCTGCTCTGCAGTTCTTTTTTTTTTTTCTGCTCTCTCTCATGATTTCACCACTTGAATTTTGTATAATTTGAGCTTAATTTGTGTCTTCTTTCAATTCTTTCCTAAGTTAGGTTGATCATCATCTAAACTATACTTTAAACTAAATTTTTAACTCACTCTAACCCCTTTGAAAATTCAGCACAACGAGCTTCTCTACAGAAAAAATTTTCTACTCAACCTCCTCTCCAATTCCAGTTTCCAGCTTTGTTTTCTTCATCTTTCTTGTTTCATCTTCTCCTTCCTCCTCTCTCACACCACCTCCCCTGTTTCCCCCTGTTTTTCCAGCATCACGTACAGTAATAGAACTCTCCAAATCCAACCATAGAAATTCACAATTCCTCACAGCACAATCAGTTTTCAACAACTCCTTAAGGGCAACAAAACCATGAAATTTTTGCTTCTTCATAACTTTCAGTTTTTCCAGCAAGGGTTCGGTAGAGTTGCAGAAAATTCCACATCATTTCAAGTTATTTAGATGAGATTAAATAGAAGCAAACTCAAAATATACAAGAATTTCACAAAATACAAGCAAAATCTAGAAGCATATAGGTTTATCTTACCTTTCTTCCCCCTCTTCTTTCTCCTCCCTCTTTCTTCTTTCTTTTTCTCTTCTATTTTCTCTCTTACACGGGCTGTCCAGATGAATCTGGAACAAAAGCAAGCCACTTCTACGTATATGAAGCTCCTTTTTAAAGAAAATTACAAAAATGCCCTCATTTGTTAAAATTTCAAATTCTCCTCCTTGCCAAAAATATCTTTATACATACCCCTTGATTTAAGCAACCTATTTACATAATTAGTTTAAAAACAATTTGTCTTAGTCTCTAAAGTGTCAAATTTTAGGGTTTTACTTTAAGAACCCCATTATGATTTATTTAAATATTTCATTTTTTTTTCATTATATCACATAAACTTTACAAAATTCCTTAATTATTCTTTTGTCTATTTTAAATTCATAATTAGGATTTTATATAAATCCCACTTAATCCTAAGAATACTAGCATTTATATAATGCATGCAAATATATAAGGTGATGCATGAATATGTAATGCATGGGTGCAAGTTATACATGCCCACTTGGATTGGAATGTGACAATTATTAGTTCAACTGATTTTATCATTTAAAAATTAGCTTATAAATTTATTATAATAATTTAAAATAATTAAGAGATATAAACTTAATCATGTAGAGGTTATCGGGACATTAAATTTGTTGAATTTTTCAACAAGTTTAGTTCAGTGAAAGTGGTTGTAGATTAGTTCAATCAAACCGATTCCGTAAAATTTTTTTATCAGATTCATTTTTTAACCAAGCGGACCATTCATGGGTTCACACCATTGAACTGGTTGAACATTGGAAAAATTTTTTCAAAAAAATTTTCTTCGAAAGCAAAAGAAGTGAGAATTTCATTAAAATGGACTAAAGCCCAAAAAAGCAGCTAGGTTTTTTCCTAGGCAGTTAATATTTTTAATTTAATATTATTAATATATCCCTATATATATTGTTATTTTGAATTAATAAAATCATCGAAATTTAATTTATAATTAATTAGCTAGCAGAAAATTAAAAGCAACAAAAATAGATCCCTAGAAGAAAATGTTTTAGGTTATTAAAAAAGATAAATATAAAAAAAGACCACCTCAGGCCTCTCTTTTGTTGTAGCCACTCTCACTCTCTTGGATATTGTGTGTTCATCCGCATGTGCATGTGCATGTGCATGAAGTTTAATGCACCTCTCGTATTATACAATTTATGTGGGTGAAAATTTATAAAAATAATTATTTTTTTAAAAGCTTTTTCTGACCCAGCAAGAGAATTCAACACCTCATGTTTTGTGAGGATGTATTTTTGTATTTCCAGGTGGAATTAATGCACTTTACTTAATTATTTTTTCTCTTTACTAACTTAAAATAACTTATTTTTTGCTTTATTATTCACAAAAAAACGTAAAAAGAAAATAAATTAAAAATCCAACTAAGTCAAAACATCACTTACTGAAAAAAAAAACCAATTAAAGATGCAAAGCAAAGAAACTACCTAAGCAAGCAATTTACAAAACCCTCCTACTCCCCTAATGAGCAGTAAACCTATAAACCATAATATGTTTGTATGTCTCGCCGGGATTGACAATCTGCGACGGAAAATTCGGGTGGTTCACCGCGTCCGGAAACCCTTGAGTCTCCAAGCACAACCCCGCATAATTCTCGTAAACAGCCATCTTTCCCCTCCACCCTTCCCAGCATATTACTCGTGTAAAACTGAACTCCCACCTGATCACTCCACAGCTCCATCTTCCTCCCGCTTTTGCTTTCCTCCACCACCGCCACTTTTGAAAATGAACATTTCCGGTGTCGTCCAGCGCGTAGTTGATGTCGTAGCCGTCGGTCAGCTCCTTGAAGCGGCTCCCAATTGTACGGGGCTGGAGAAAATCGTATGGAGTGGAGTGGACGTCGGTGATTTGGCGGTGGGGATGAGGGCGGAATCCACTGGGGTGATCCTGGAGGCGAAGAGTTGAAGAGTATGGGAGAGGATGTTGCCGGAGTTGTGGCCGGCAAGGTTCCAGTAGGTGTGGGAGGCTAGGTTTACTGGGGTGGGCTTGGTTAGAGGCTTCGCCTTCATTTTGATTCCTAGCTTGTTTGTTTCGATCAACAAGTACGTCACCGACACAGCGAGCTCACCTGGGAACCCTGTGTTTGAGAAAAAAAGTAATTACGTCATTTTTGGGTGCATTTTTATGGAATTTTTTTATTTTGTACTGAAATTTTCTTTCGGGGAAAGCAACCTTCATCGCCATCAGGGCTGTGAAGGGTGAAAGTGATATGGCTATCTTCCTTGTAGCTTTGAACCGTCCAAACGTGTTCACTAAATCCTTTGGGACCTCCTGTTTTACAGTAACAATGCAATTAATGATATCTAGATACGAGGAAAAAAAACTTATAACTAGATTTGAAGGGGGGGGGGGGAAAATTTATGAACCATGGAGAATGTTGGGTCCTTCGTTGGGGGTTAGGTTGTAATGAACCCCATTTAAGGTGAACTGTGCCCCTCCAATTCTGTTTGCAACACGCCCAACAAGGGCTCCAAAATATGTCGAATCATTCTGCATTAATTTATTCCAAGAAAACTGTTAAATGGAACGAAATGGAACCTATATGTGAGCAATTTCAATATTTTCCTTGTTTATATTTCTCCTAACATTTATTGTTCCATGCATTGGATATAAAGAGAGAGATTTTAAATTTTAATGGATACATCTTTGTAATTTTTTCTAAAACTGGAATCGTCCAGGTACAGCAAATCAAGATATGGGTTTCATCCATAACTATCTAAAATAAGCTAAATACACCACACCACCAAAAAAAATTAACAAAATAAAATTTATCGTTGGCCAAATTCACATTATTATTATTTATTTAATTGGAAGCAAATTAAAAAGTAAATAGCAAATCAAACCTTGTACCCATCTAGAGTTTGAAACCCAAGAACCACATCATCCAGTTTCCTGAAAAAAGAAACAAATATATCCTAAGCAAGATAAACAAAACCAAGCAACCACCGAGCACCATTAATAGAGGAGGAAGAAGAAAATACCATTTTTATCAGGGGAATGACAGAGAGAACAGTAGCACCCCAATTGGTGAGCTTCACAGAGAAATCTCCCCTCTTCAGTTCAAAAACTCCTATCTCTCCCTCTGCTCTGCTGTTAGCAGCAAAATAAAAAAGGCAAAAGGCCATCAAAAGATGGCAACACAAGAAAGATATCTTTGCCATGGCGGAGAACGTGAATGCTGATTAAGATAGCTCGCAAGAAAAGACTGAAAATTAACCGGCCATATGCTGTGCTGTATATGTGTATTATATATAGAAGAATTTTTGGATATTTAAATTTTGGATAAAGATGGGATTTCGCGGATTTGGTAAAATCAAAATTTATAATTAGATAAGGATACGAGAATATCTGAAAATGCGTTTGGCCGTTTCAAATCTTATCAAAAACTTCTTTTCATTATTTTGTTCCCTTTTTTGCTTTATTGTTTAAGTCTTACGATTTATTTTCTTTGTAAAGATTATTACAATAAATGGAAAGAAACCGCCAGTTTGGTTTAATTGAAGATAAAAGCGAGCACATATATTTATCAACGTTCGTTATATTTCATTAATAAAATTTGATTTGTCTAAGATGCCCAAAAAAAAAAAATTATTTCTACTAACTCATTCATGAATAAGATATTAGATGTGTTCAGTTGCAAAATTGAATTAATTGGAAACATATACATATATATACATAACATATATATATATATATATATATATACACAACTAAAATAATTTTGTTCAAGGCTGTTAATATAACGATCCCAAGAAAATAAGAGATAGGGTTACATGTTTAGGATGATAAGAGATAGCTTTAGAGGTAAGTGTTAATTAAATTTGAGTAATTATAGTTTTATATTTAATTAGCATTATAAATAAGGAATTAGATCAAGTAGAATAGGAATTGTGAAGTTATTATTTTATTATTTCAGCCATTATGCTAAGTTTCAGGAGAATTTCTCCTATTCAGTGTCAAGTCTTCGCAGTCAATCTCGAAGTCTGAAACTGTTTTTTTATCTTCTATTTTATTTATTGTAATTCTTCTGTCACTAAAGAAAAGTTTTTCAAAAAAAATAAGAAAAAATATAAAAAAATTAGTTGTCAGTAACATTTTACCAACTGCAAAGATTGGAATACTTAATCACGATGAGCGCTTTAATTTGTACAACCAAAACAGTTCCTTCATGTTTTATATGTTACATCCGCCACAAAGCATTGAACTGGGTATAACAATGGGGTAACAAATAACACACTATCATGGTGAAAATTCTGCAGCATACTGGCTATTGCAACTCCTCTGTGCTATTAGTCAAAGACCTATATAACCTGTATAATCATATATCCATACAATATCTAAAGCTTAATAAGCAGCTAGAGAGCATATAAGTGGGGATCTCACAATCCTAGCCGTCATAATGATCACATATACATATCCATGCATATCTATTGAGAAAAATGAGCCAAATCATAATATATTAACCTATACAGTCTAATATCTTATTACAACATACCCACAAAATTATTAGGAGAGCTATATATATGCAAAACATTACTAATACAATACATATGTATACATATACAACATAATATCCATGACTCTGGCACCATGATGGATGTTCTACATTATGACTCAATCCTAGTCATAGAGATTCGGGGCCCCACTTGCTATCATGGAGACAAAATAGCTAATCTAATGGTAGATCTACAAGAGAGGGGAAAATGGTGAAATAAGTGTCCAGTGAATGTCATATAACTAATTTTAGTGAAACAGTTAAGTTTTTAATCATACAATAATCATATAATTTATCATAAAATTCCAAGCAATATAATATATATATATATATCATCAAGAAAATCAAGTTTGTATAGCAGTGCCAAGGCATGACATAAACCAATGCAATTAGAGATATTAAAAAAATAAAGAAAATCTGAAAATCCATAAAAATTATAGTACATAATCAGTTGCATGGTCTAGTCGAATGTGCAAACCGAAAATGGTGCATTTGGCTAGTAAATCATAAACTATAACCATAGTTTGGCCCGAAGGAACAAAATATGTTGGGCGCTACTGTATTGTGTAGTTTGCACCGAGATTGCCGCCACTCCCTGATCAAACTGACATAGTAGGCGGCCTTTGGGATCCCTTATCAAATCCATATCTATATCAGAGCATTCACATCTGGACGTTACATATCGCCGTCCCCAATGTATGTTATATCATCTAATATTATACATGTAGAACTACAACCTATCCGGATAGTTGCCCGACATTTACTTAGTACTAAGGCACAAAATTATAATAAAAATATCAAATCAATCATATCCTTAAAAGCAGAACATAGTTTAGTTGTTTCCATTTTCTTATATCACATCTAGGCATTTCGAAAATTAGATATCATTTGTAGAAAACATGTTTTGAAAAGGAACCAAGATTAGAAAGATGTCACTCACCATAATTACAGCGTCTAAGTCTGAGGTTCTAGAACTGGAGTGCCTTGATCTGGTATCGGCTCAGTTTTTTTTCCTATGATCAAATTAACACACACACACACACACACGCACACACATGTATATAAGTATACAATTAAGGTTTAAGATGTATAACACACACACACACACAACAAAAAAGTTACTTTTTAAACTTAGTTTTCATTTCCTCATATTTTCCATTTACTTAGTCTTTTGCTTTCCCTAAGTCCTCTCTAATATGCCTCTAATTAGCCTCATTTTAAGGCAATTAGATTATGCCACATTTATTTTCCAAAAACCTTAGGTTGCTGAAATTTTAATATATTTCTAGTTTATGACTTAAGCATTTATGAAATTCCCAATTCAAGTCTTGTTTATTCTCCCTCCATCTTAGTACATTCTTTGGCCTTCCTTAACCTATTTCCCTTAGAAATTTCGGGCCTCTTAGCCATGCCAATTCCTTTCCACTTAATCTCTATTAAACCTGAAAATTCTCCTACTAAGTCTACAGCTTGTAAATTCATGTATTTAAGCTAAGTTTTTGGGTGAATTTAAGGGTAAGAGGCTTCTAAATTGGCTTTCTTATTACCCTATTGCTTACTTAAGTTTAGAAACTTCTTAATTCACTTTTAAAGTTCTAATATAACTCAATTCTAGGCCTTAAAAAGGCTTGTACAGAAAGCTGCTCAAACCTGCAGAATTTTCTGCAAAAATTCCAGCTTGCTATTCTAGGCTCCTAGATTGTGTTAACTTAATTCCTTTGCTCCACTTTAGACTTTTTCTCCTTTAATTTCATCCTCTTTACCTCTTCTTTGAGGGTTACCAGTTCTAACCCTTGCAAGTCTCATAATTCCGCCATGGATTTTATAGAAAAGAAGAAACATGCATGCAACAATCAAAATTAAGCTTTTCTTTCAATTTCATAAACATAAAACATGAGAGAGTTCTTCCTTGGGGTTTGGCCACCATGGCTTGCGGCCCCTTAGCCTCTTTTAATCCTTTATATAATCTCATAATTCCACCAACTAATGCAAGAGGAGTTGAATTCTACATAATCTTTAACCAGATTTTGGAGTGATGAATTGAATTTCAAGGTGAGGGAGGTTCGGTCATGGTAGTTTCCAGCTCTTATATTTGATCAAAAATGAAAGAAAATTCAGGTATGTGTATGTATACATGATGACCTAACCTAATCTATCAAGAATTTAGAAAAGAAATAAATTAGAAATAATAAATTACACGAAAACTTACCTTTTGTTTTCTTAGATTTCCCTTCCTTTCTTCCCTTTTCCTTTCTTTCCCTTTCTCTCTCTTTCTCCCCTTTGCTGGTTGCACGAAATGGGTTGTCTATGTGTGTTGAGTGCATGTATATGTAAAAGTAAGGCCGCTAGTAGCCAACCTTAATTGGGCCAAATTGCAAATTGGCCCCCAAAGTTTCACTTCCTTGCATTTTGACCCAAATCCCTTAATTTTGCCTATTAACCCTAGAAAATTTACGAAATCCCTATTAAGACCCTACTAATATAATACTCCAACACAATTGAGTATATCTACATACATATATTTTTACTAATTTTTTTATTTTTATTTTATTTATTTTTTTGTACACTAAATGTCAATAATTCTCTAACTACGTACTAACTTTCTTATTTCTTGTTTATTTAGTTTCTAAAAATTCCCTTTCTAATCCTCTCATTAAGCCTTTGAATACCTCAATTTCCTTCTCTAAAAACTGGAAATAAAAATTAAATTCCAAGGGCAAAATTTTCTTTTAAGTCTTAAACAAATATCTACCATTAAGCATAGCACATGCAAATAATAACATTATTATGCCAATATATACATATATATTAGACACATGCTAAGGATTTTTGGTTGGAATGCTACATATCTCCATGCCTCAAACTTGATTTAATTGCTTCTAATTCTTTAATTTTTTTGTAAAGTTCATAATTTTAACAGACTTTTATCATTAATATAACAATTTAATCTACACTTTAAACCCTTAAAATTTTATTCCTGTCCAAAGTCTAAAATATTCCATTTTAGTTTTAATCTTAAAAATTTAATCTACACTTTAAACCCTTAAAATTTTATTCTTTTCCAAAGTCTAAAATATTCCATGTTAGTAATTCATGGAATGCCCTCCTGGCACGCGGTAAATCTGTTATTTTTTCATCAAAAGTAATACCTGTTAAAATTGCTCTCCACCATAACCGCAAGGTCGGTTTGTGTTAAGAGGCGAAAAGCTACATTTTTATTTGTTACAATGCATCATTGGAGGCAGAAGATACGATTGTCCAACTCGGAATATTTTGGTAATTAATAACTAATGAAATGAATAACATATGAAAGTGCCTCCAGATTCAACATAAAACCATGAAAACAAAATCCACGGGGGGAAAATTGATTTTTCCTAAATGGTTGCATAGGTATGTAAAACAATCATATTTGACAATTATGAAAGCACTTGAAATGCTTGAGCCCCGTGAGCAACCTTAATGAAGACATCCTCTAATGTAGTATCAGCTAAGCCCCATGCCTGAACTGGGAATTTGCTCTTCGCGTGTTCAACTGCTTGGAAAACATCGGCAATCCTGACTTCATGCTTTGGCAGCTCAAACTTTTGAGTTCCAGATAAATGGTAGATTTTGTTAGCATTTGGAGACAATCTATGCACCAAGTTCTCTATTTCCTGATCATGATTTGAAGACACCGTCATTGTGAACACATAAGAACCCCCATATCTAGCCTTCAGCTGTCATTCAAAAATAAGAACATTATCTCTTATGCATGCATAACTCTGCACTTTGAAGTCTAGGATTAGACTTCTATCTTGGAAATGATATATAGCTTATGTCTCTCTTCTTTCTACATCAATAGGCGGACGTGAAAATAAGAATGTGCATCACGTCAGGGGGAAAAAGGTAAACCAAAAAAATAAATAAATAAAGAAGTGCTTCAGAAAGGACATAATTTTGCTTGTTGGTTGACATTTTCTATGTCAGAGACCAGCAATGGAGAGCATAGTGTTAATATCGTGTTACATTGAGCACCCAAAAAATAAGTGACCAATGATTTGTCAAAGCTAGTGTTGCATGCATCTAAAATGGACCTCATAACATTTTCTGAATTTTGAACAATTTTTTAGTTGCATTATTAAAAAGCCTACTGCATAATCTCTTGGTGTTAGATAGCACAGTTTCACCAAAAGACAATCCCCAGCTATTATGCATATAAAAGTTACTACAAAGTCATATACATATTTGTACCTTGTCAGTATGTCATTAGAGATACAAGGATCATCTCACGTAATTAAGAAAAAGGTAATATAGTGCATTCTGAAATATCTGAATTACTACAAAATGCATATAATCCAAAATTACCTCTTTGGGATTTCCGATGCACTGCAAGCTGCCATCACAAAAATTCCTACTCGATCACAAAGATGCTCTGCCTCCTCCATTGAATGAGCTGAAAGCATTTTAGCAAGTTTTATCAGTGAAATTACTTGGAAAGGAATTTCAATGCTCATACAAACACTAGTAGATAGAAGCAAACAGAGGGGGAAGTTACTAGTGAGAATGATTGCCCGATTTTGCTTTGCATGTTTCACAGCATTCCCACAAACTATTTCTTGAAGCTGGATCGAGTCCAGTACTTGGCTCATCCATGTAGACAACCTTTTTATAATTTACATGAATTAGGCATTAAAAATTTCAAGAGATTTCAGGATTAGAGAAGATATTAGTACTTACTATTGGATCCCCAATAAGTGAGATGGCAACACTAAGCCTCCTTTTCATTCCTCCACTATATTTTCCAGCCTGTTTGTCAGGAACCCCTCCTTGAAATAAGTTAACACTCTTGAGGGACTCTTCCACTGCCTGTTGCAATATTATATTATAGGAGAATAAAAATATGTTGACCAGAATATGATAGTATTACTATTACGAAATAGTGTTTAAAAAAAAATTCAACTCACTTTATTAAACCCACTAAGATTGGATTAGGCAACTGCTCATGAATTTCTAAAAATATACTTCTTTAATCTAATCGGGCTTTATTCTTTCATATCCTGGACAATTTTTTATGTTGACTTCACCTTTTCAAGAGAAGGTGAAAAAATTAAGTTGACATTGCTAGGTTAACATAGCTAAAAGTGGCAATAGTGGTGGTGACAGGTGGCAGCATGATAAGGAAGCAGTAGAGGTGACAGGTGGCTAGTGACCATAGACTTGGAGGGAGGATTGGGTGGAAACTATATAATCCAAAATTGTAACATCCATTATAAAAATGCACAAAGAAAAGTATATGAAAGCACACTTGTTTTGTTTTCATAAATTTATAAATATAAGTGATCCTTCAGGTTATCGTAAAAATTAGTGTGCACAAATTTTGGTGGGGATAAATTTGTTCAACTATTTTATTCTTTTTCAAGTAAGTCATATAACTCATAACTTGTACCAAAATACCAGTTAATTTAAATCATTTCAGAGAGTAGATGATACAGGATATTCTACCTACACCACTAAAAATCAATATTAATTTGTCTGTGAGGCAATGTCAACTTACCCGGGTTAACGCAGACCCTCGAAGGTTTTTAAGTCTTCCATAGAAAAGTAAGTGCTCCCTTCCTGTTAGGGTTTCCCAAAGTAGGCTGTACAATTTTCCCAAACATATTAAGATAAAAAAGTCGATCATTCAGACATCTAAAATTGGATGAAACAAGGGCCATAATGACAACCCCAAGACGACGATTATCTTGCTTACTCATGTTGTGGACATACACCCATGCTGGTATATACTTCATCCATCTGTGACCTTATATCTAAGCCTTCAACATATGCTGTGCCAGAGCTTGGTTTTACAAGTCCAATCATCTGTCAAAAAGCCGAATCATCTGTAGACTTCTTTGCCAATAGTATGACTTTCCATATGCAGTATAGAGGGGGGGGGGGGGGGAATGCTAAACAGAATACCCTTTTCGAGCAAGATTTTTATGCAATGCCCCATGATATATATATATATATATATATATATAGACATCATAACTAGACCTAAAAACATGAAAACCAAAACACCCCCTGCGCAATAATAAATTCAGAAGCCATGCTGAAACACTTTCAAGATCAATTTATACTGACCATATTGATAAAAGAGGTTTTTCCTGCACCATTGGGGCCGAGCATGCCAAAGCACTCCCCTCTCGGCAAAGCAAGCGACATCCCTCTTACAGCAAATTTCTCAGGGTTTCCATCTCTTCTTGGGTACACCTTTTTAAGGTTATCGCAGACAATGGCGTGACTACTTGTTGGTTCAAGTAACAGATGTTCAACCTTGTCTCTCTGAAAAAAGAAAAAAAAAAGGAAGACATACGAGAGAATTATGGACAAAACTGAGAGATGCATCATTAAAACATGATATACATGAACTAAAGTTTACAAAGTTTATGCTTTAAATGAACATCACCAACAGATTGCTCGTTCAATAAGCTCAAAGTATCATTACTAAAATCATCACATCATTGTGAATGGCAATGGCAAGTTTAAAGGTTACAAATGAAAAGTTGTACACGTAATAGACAGGTAAGACCATGGTACGGATAATCATTCCATATCAAAGCAGTTCCCGATTAAGCTTATGGGATACAAACTCACAACATGGGCATGCTTACCTCTTGAGAAACATCTGGTTTGTCCATTTGAACAAGAACATTAGATCCCTGCCTTTCGAAAATAGGTTTCCTGATAGATGCAGATGACAAAGGCTTCTTCCGAAGCTTTTTCAGGAAAAACAAAGGACTTCTTCCAACACCACTTCCTGATGCTACGACTTGATCCATGTAATACGCAATGAAAAGAACCACCAACCACTCCACAAACATAATAATAAGAACTTCTTTCATCCCATTACTGCCATCACTTAAGTTACTCCATCGCATCCCATCTGTCCCCTTAGAGTCTTCCGTGACGGCATATTGTCCAAACTCGTATAAGCCACGATACAAAGAAAAGCCAGGATATAACTCCATAACAATAATCCACCTTCCTAAAACAATGAAAATAAATATAAAACATCATTAGAGTTATAGATAGAACACATCCAGAAGTCAACAGAAAATACAGAATAAAATCAGAAGTTGAACATGCAAAAATGTTAACCAGCAAACTAGAAAACGGTTTAAATGATATGGCCGGTATCTCTAGCAAAATCAACAGAAATTCAACTGATTGGATGATCGTCATCCGCACTTATGTCAAATTCATTTTGACCATCAACAGCAACAGAAGTTCCCTACACGATATTTTGTGCCAAATGTGCAGATGGAAGCCCATCACTAGTTGGAGTATCTAATCTCTCAGGGGCAATAAATACAAAAGTAAAAATTCAGTTTTGTAGCTACGTTGGATGCCTTTCTTGCCCTGCATTCTTTGGCACAATGAATTCCAATAATGGTCACAATTTCAGCAATACCAATTTTTAATGTCTTCCTACACAATAACTCCATTTTATCCTAATATTGAAAGAGAAGTACTAGTATTTTCACTACAAGAGTCATGAATGTGTTGATCCAGTGACAACATGAATATTAAGGAAAAGATAGCTTCTTAGATGGAGAAAAAGCTAATAATACATATAACTCCTAGTACCAAGCATTACAGCAGCATATTCATTAAGATACCTTCTACTTACTTGGAAATGATGTATCCTGAACAAAAAAAAGATAGCTTCTTAGATGGAGAAAAAGCTAAGATTACATATAACTCCTAGTACCAAGCATTACAGCAGCATATCCTTTACTTACTAGGAAATGATGTATCCTGAACAAAAAAATCGAAAAGAAATCTCCCAGGAGTCCAGATCCAAAGACCATAATATACCCTACAACTGTGAGCATCGAATAAAAATCATCAGCTCTCATTGTTCAACTAGACTTAATTGAAAAGACAAGATCTGAGGATCTCCAATGCATAACATCAACCAGATGAGCACAAACCTGCAGCAGTCTTTACATTTGAGAAAATTGAAGCTAGTAGAAAAGCCAATGAGATTTGCAAGTTTATGTAGAGGAAATAAAACACTAATTGTATGCTGTAGTCATTAAGTGTGAAAAATTTTAAACCTGCAAAAAAGGCAAATGCGTTAAAGCAAGTTCTTTAAGGAAGAACAAAGAACTATGAAGCATTAAACTTGTCATCATATTACCTATTACTGAGCCAAATATCACGAAACATAACATGTAGGCTGAAGATATGACAAGAAAATAAGCATATGAAATTGTCCAATAGGGGCCATCACCAAGACCATGCATTTTCATCATGATTCTTAGCTTTTGTTCCTTCTCATAAACCAGAGAAGTTAATATGACCTGCATTACAAGGAATAGAAAAGAACAAGATAAGAGAAGGAATAGCTAAAAAATATATCTGCAATGCAATATTCAAATTTAAGGTTCATGAGTTAGACAAAATAAGCAGAACCTTTTTAAACTGAATGAAAAGTATGAGATGCAGTCACTTGATTGGGCATAGAAGACATAAAATCATTTGATGTTAAACAAATACAAAAAAAAAAAAAAAAAAAGAAGAAGAAAAGGAGGTAATTGAAACTGTTGTAAAATACAAAACCTTTCCCCTTAACAGGAACTGCTACAATTATACTAATTAGACGGCAAACCAAGCAAAAAGGCATTTTAAGAACAGAAGTGGGCAATTCAAAGTCCATAGCTAAACACAATCCCAGTCACTAAGGACAAAGACATTTATGACTTCTAAAAGCTATAAATTTGACAGAACCTGCAAAACAGATTTTGAAATATACAGTTTTTACCGGGTTCCCCTTGCATCAGTATTCCAAAAACATCCTCAATGTACCAAGAGGAAAATTGTAAAGGAAAACAAGTTTAGGGTTTTAAAATTTTCAGCCATTTCTTGTATATGACATGCATGTTAATAGAATAAATCTGACAGTAAGCGCATCTTGTCCAACAATCCAAGGTTCCAAGTGTTAAAACTAGCAAATTTGACAGAACCTGCAATACAACTTATAATATGCATATAAGTGCTACTTGTTTTTATTGCACCCATATTCATAGTTCCAACTGCTTGTTATTCTAGGGTGATAATAAGAGCAACTCACAGCTGTAATACTAGCAAACTTGGAAAGACTATGCATGTCCAAAAAGTATATTGTTAGTGGAAAAAGTAAAAGCATTGCTCACTTACAGGGAATAATTGCAGAATGACCCATGTGAAGAACAGTGGTCCAAGGGCAGAAGAAAAATCGGACCTAAGATTAAGCTGGGTTGCAGGCTTAGGCATTTCTTTGACAAATTCAAACAGCATACTTGTAGCTGGACCAAGCAAAAATTTAAGATAGGCATTTGATACCTGGGCAAGCATGGTTTTATAAAGTCAATATTTCTCACTGTTCAGTCACTTAATGCAGCAACACTTAAATATTATAGTTTTATTGATGATTTCCATTGAAAACATTGGTAAATCAAGTATAACAACATTTCTTATGATCTTTGCAGGCCATATTATATCTGTTGTCACATTTTTACAAACTAGGACAAGTATAGCAACAACATAACATAAGCAAAATAACTTTCTCAGCCAGATGGACATTGTAATTTTGAGGTCCAACATACTATAAGAACATAGATTCTACAAGATAATATCAATGTTGCCACAAATTGGATAATTTTGTTAATACTAAACAGGAAGGGGTAATGGGAATGTAGCTAGAACTATAAACGGGTCGAGATTCGGATCAAATCAGGATAATTCAAATCTGAATCCGAATCTGAATCCAATTACAAATGTATATCACCGAATCTGATTCGAGATCTTATAGGATTTCTGCCTATCACTACGATACCCAAATCTGATAAAAATCCGAATTCCAAATAAAAAATCTGATCTAAATAACAGTCAATAATAATTAAAATCAAATAACCAATAAGTAAATGACATGTAAAATCAAATAAATTATTATTTATGAATGATAAAAATTCATGTTATATTTATGTTTAATATTTTGATTTTATTAAAATATAAATAAAATTTAGAAATAAATTATTATTTATGAATAATTAAGAAGAATTTTTGTTATATAACATATTACAAAAGTTATAATAAGATTCCAATACTTCAAAAAATTATCAAGTTTTATTCATATTATAATTAAAACTCAAAAAACTTTGTAATCAATTTATTTAAGTGCTTCATGAAATTTCAAAAGTAATTAATCATTAAATATATTACCTAATGAAAAACTAAAATTAAGAAAATAAAAGAATATTCTAGAATAGTTTAGAAAAAAATATATATTATTTTATTAAATAAAATGCGTCACAAAACAAATTAGTGCATTGTTAATTATAATGTTACATATATTATATTATATATAAAAGTATTTATTAATATATATGATTATTAATTAAATAAAAATATTATTAAAATATTCAAATTTGGATTTTTAACAGATCGGATTACTTAATTCCATATCCAGTCTATTTATTTTGGATTACGGATATTTATAATCAGATTTAATCTATCGAACATTTTAATCAGTTGAAAAACCTAAAATTCAGATCGGATTCAAATTAAAATTAAACCTATTGACAATCCTAAATGTAGCATGTGTTTTTCAACATGGTGTGATTGTAGTAGACTTCTATATACTTCTACAAGAAACATCTCTAAAACAGTTTCATTTTTCTAATATATCTAAGAAAATAAACTATCTTTATTCAAATCAGTCATGTAAAAATGCATTTAAAGTAATATTCCAATCCCATCATGTACATGTTGCTTACTATCAAAATTCCATCGTCCCTGTTATTGGTTCAATTATATTTGATATTATTCCCCCTACCATATACTGAGAAATTAGAAAGATAAGAATTTCTGGATTGGTTCAGATAGCTAAATTTATGTGTTAGAAGTTTGTCACATTTCAGATGACGTGTATCAAAACATAACTTGATAGGGTACTAGTGTTTTCAAAGTTGGTGGATAATACAAGAAAAAGACAGACAAGATGGCCCAAGTCATAATTTCTGGTTGTAAAGTGCTAACCCAATGCCACCACGGCACCTGGATGAGCTCCACCACAAGAAATATGTACGAGTACTTCCCTTCCAATCGCTACATATTTTGTCGTAAGTAAATTAAAATTTCTTGAACATGAAATTAAGTCATTATATAAATCTCTTGCAAAGTGACTTACAATTCTCTAGGAAACAAGAACAGATGAGGAACAGATTGGGGGGAAGGGGAGGTGAAATCTACAAAATGGCAAAGACAAAGAAGAAAAAATTTTCAAGACAAGAGTATATCTATCATATGATAGTACAAGCACTCGAGATCTCAACAAAGTTAAAAATTAAGTAAGATAATATTGTTACAAGTACAACAAAATCTTTTAACATTTTTAGTTCTGAAATATAATTATCTCAGATAGCAAATTTCAAATGCACCAACTCAAGGTCTTGAAATTATGTGTTTTGGTGTGTTTTTCATTTTCCAAAAGGTTTTTAATGAAATCTATATAGTTTTGTTATTCCACCAATCTCTAGTGTCCATCCCCTGGAAAAGCAAATGTTTTGACAGTTGAAATTGGTTCCATGCTATTACTAATTGCTTTATGTTATGTCCGTACCTCCAGAAAGCTCTTTCTGCCTTACATACTATGTACATGTCAAGCACGAAACTTCCAATCATCAAGCCAATTCAGAAACCAAACTATTTAGTAAAAAGCAAAACAAGAGGAGGTAAAAATACAATGGATTTGAATTTGAAGCAGTTGACAACAGAAATGGGTCTATTGAGTCCAGAACATATACCAAATTCACTGAGCGAGGAACACGTGTCAAGCCAAAAGCACTGTTGTCATCGTCATTCTTATGAGTAGAGTTGTACCATATGCTCACATTGAAATTATTCAAATTGGTGTTTAAGAAATCATAAGCTGTCAAAAGTTTTAAAAAAAATCCAAGTAAGAGTTACTCATAACAATAAGACAAACCATGTATCCAATAGTATACCAACCTGCTAATAGTTCATTAATTTTGTGTTCTGAATTCCCCTTCCAGTAGCCTTTATATAGCTCATCATTAATATCACCGGAACTATTGCGCCATAATTGTAGGCCTTGAACACATCCAACCTCTACACTCAAGAAAAAAAATTAAAAGAACAATAATAAATTTATGTTCTCCCGTAAAACTATTGGTTCAGAATATGCATAGAGACACATGCACTGAGGCATGATGGAAAGGGTAAATTTTTTCTTAATAATTTAATTAAATACTGAACATATTATGTATGTGTACATTGTTCACATGTCCAATTAGCCCACTATGTAGTCCTCAGAAATTATAATGTTGGCTTCTGTGCATTTGTTGTACACACTTGGTCCCATAATTGGACTGCCGATAATCCAAATTTTCAGAAGGCAAATGTTTCTGTACTTATAGCCAGATAAGGTAATAAAACACAGATTTCAAAAGCTATGTTTCACACTGGTAGACTGCTGAACATTCATTTAAGCAAAATAGTACTGTAAATTCATGACATTTACCTGTATGGTCCAAAGTAAATTTGTCACATCCTGAAATGTGCCAATTTCTAATGCATGACAGTTTGAGTTTCCTGAATATAATATCTACAATGCAAAAGACTTTCAAGTATGGAGGACTAATTTGCACTTTGCACCCAAAAAAGGGATTTTGGCATTTTGCAACCCAAAATTTTAAATTTGGTACTTCACACCCAAAATAGGAGTTTTTTAACACTTTGCACCCCAAAAATAAAGATTTTTGACATTTTGCACTCCAAAATTTTAAATTTAACCCCAAACCTCCAAAATTACAAAAAGTGTATCATATCTTTAATTGCTCATAAAACTAAGGATAAATTTAGAATTTCATATAAATGAAGAGTAAAAAGATCATAAAGGACTTAAATCCTTCTTTTTTTTTGTTATTTCTACTCTATTTAATAAATTTTCACATAATTTATATAAATATATATATATTAACGACATATAAAAGATTACAAAATTTGAAACTGTTCAAAATTTTAAATTTTAAAACTAAAAATAAAGTTTTGGTAAAAAAATATAAAAAAATATTTGAAGTGGCATTTTAGTTCTTAATTTGTTTAGATATTTTATACAAAAATAATTATTTGAAGTAGTTATGTAATTTTTAATTTGTCTAGTATTTTATACAGAAATAATTATTATTTCTTAATTTGTAACATATTCAGATTTTTAGTTTTAAACTAAGAACTAAACTGGCCACTTCAAATATTTTTTTATATTTTTTTATCAAAAATTTATTTTTAGTTTTAAATTTTTGAATATGTAGAAAATTTACAATCCATGTGCATTTGAAGAATATAGTTTATTTGGTTTAGATTATAATCGGAAACATTAATTTTGAAGTAACATTTTAATTCTTAATTTGTCTAATATTTTTTATAGAAATAGAAATAATTATTAGTTCTTAATTTGTAACAAATTAAGATTTCTTGTTTTTAAATTAATAACTAAAATAGTCACTTCAAATATTTTTTATATTTTTTCAAAACTATATTTTTAGGAATTAAAAGTTTAAAATTTTGTATAATACCAAATTTTTTAATTTTTACATGCCATTAATGTGTGTTTAAATTGAGTGAAAGTTTATTAAATAGAGTGGAAATAATAAAAAAATAAGGGTTTAAGTCTTTCATAGTGTTTTTATCCTTCATTTACATGAAATTCTAAATTTACCTTAGTTTTAATAAGCAATCAAAGATATGGTGTATTTGTTGTAATTTTGGGAGGTTTTGGGGCAAGTTTAAAATTTTGGAGTGCAAAATGCAAAAAAATTCTATTTTTGAGGTGCAAAGTGCTAAAAATCCCTATTTTTTGGGTGCAAAGTGCTAAATTTAAAATTTTAGGGTGTAAAGTACCAAAACTCTCTATTTTGAAGCTATTTTGAAGGTATAAAGTGTAAATTAGTCAGGATGGAGAAATTGAGGACTTGGCTCATTAATAGCTAGTCTTTTCTTTTCTTTTCTTTTCTTCCTTTTTTTTTTCTTTTTTTTGAATGGGATTAATAAACAGTTAAAGGCCCTCAAATGCAAATTTCAATATTCATGCATAGCTAAATCTTGTTCTGCCTTTGCGACTATGAAACATCATGGAGACAGTAAAACATTAGTGCTTAGTGTCCTGAATCTTGAATATGTTAAATAAAATTAAGGTTGTAGAGATAATTTTACCTTTGTTATAGGAGCAGAATTAATCTCGAGGGAAACAGTGATTGTTGAATTTGTAAAGCACTGAGGTTGTAGACGATAGAGCGGATGATCTGAAACGATAGCTGACTCCAAAAAATTGGTGGTTCCTGTCTCTGTGTCTGACCCCTGATATGTGGTAAATTTTTATATGAATACAAATGTAAAAATACAAGTAACTTAAGAATTCTAAAGAAACCAAACATAAAAGGGAAAGACAACAAGGAACTTTGGCAAACCCTTTTTTTCTGGTGATTAAAGGAAGTTAAAATTAAAAAAAGAAATTAGATAGAAGGAGAAAGACAACTTACAATGGTATTCTTGGCTAAGCTATATAAAATATCAGAGAAGTTCAAAGTTGAAGAACTAGCTAGCAAATTTCCCGCCAAGCCTGTGAAGAATTGTTGATAAGACAAATCATTGAGTGCTACCAAACTAAGATGAAACAAAAAGAAAGACAACGTCACAGCAGAGAGAAAGGACTATACTTTCCGCAAGAGAATGATCGCTCCCAGTAAAAACAATAGTTGCAGGACAGGATGCTGTCCTCCTGCATGCCTCGTCTGGCAAGTCCGTAAATGAAACGAAATCAGTTTTTACTGCACGATATTCTGGCTCAGGTACTTGCAAGAAGGGAGGCCACTCTGGGGGACTGGGAACGGGACAGGTGCTTGCTTGGTCCAAAGTTGAGTACTCAAGCCCGCACACTTCCTCGCACGGACCATCCCCATTTCTATCAATACAAGTACAGCCACACTTGGTTTCGGCTTTATCCGATTCTTCGTTAATCAAATTTCGAGCGAGAGCAAGTAACAAGCAGAGTACAAATGGGAATAAGATGAGCCGTACGTTCGCCATGATATTCCGCTTCTGTAAAGAGAAGAAAATCATGAACGTTTCAAATCACCGATAAGTTCGGCGAGTAACTAAATTCATTTAAGAATGTAAATGGTCAAATCAGATATGTATTTAAATGGTCAAATCAGATGATCATGAATGAATATATTTAAATTTGTTCCAAAAATTTTGTAAGACTTTTGCCTATAACTATAATATTTGAATTTGATAGCAATTCAAAATTTGAATAAAAAATTTGATCTAAATAATATTTAACAATAATTGAAACAAACAAATAATAAGTAAAAGATATATAAAATCAAATAAATTATTATTTATAAATAATAAAATTTTATATAACATTTATATTTAATTATTTTGATTTTATTAAAATATAAATAAAATTCAAAAATAAATTACTATTTATGAATAATTAAGAAAAATTTTTGTTATATAATATATTACAAACAATTAAGATAGAATTCCAGTACTTTAAAAAATTATCAAATTTTATTTTTGTTATAATAAACTTAAAAAACTTTGTAATCAATTTATTCAAGTGTTTCATAAAATTTAAAAGTAATTAATTATTAAAATACAATACGTAATAGAAAAATTAAAATTAAGAAAAGTAGAAGAATATTCTAAAATAGTTTAGAAAAAATATACTTTATTCTGTTAAATAAAATGGCTCGCAAATACAAACTAGTACATTATTAATTATAATGTAACATATTTTGCATTATATATAATTATTTATTAATATATATATAATTATTAATTAAATAAAAAAATATTATTGAAGTACTTTGATTCAGATTTTTAATTGATCGAATTGTTTAATTTTATGTCCAGTCCACTTAACGGATATTTATAATCAGATTTAATCTATCAACTATTTTAATCGATTAAAAATTTCAAAATTCGAATCGGATTCAGTTCGAAATCGAATTAAAATCCAAACCCATTAACAGCCCTATATCCATTATAAACATGTGTGTCTTAATTATGTTTCTTGGATGCTTCAATCCTGATGCAGACCCTAATTCAATGATTAAAACGAGTTCAATTGTGACTTGGTGTATCCGGAGTTCAACAATCTAACAAAAAGTAAATAAGCAAATCATAAAAGTTAAAAGAGAAAATGACCTGAAAAGTCAAGTTTTTCCTAAGCAGAGCGTCCGCCTGTCTCCAGAAGTTCGCACGACCATTTGATGAAACATCCATTGTTGAGCTGATGGCTCTTCTCTCACCTTCTCCCCTCCCTACCTCTCTATTGCCACGCATGAGCTCTCGGCTGCTTCTGTCTCTTAATATTCTGATGACGATTTAGTCTCTCTCTCTCCCTCAACTTCTTACACAGAAACTCGGACGTGTGAAATTAAGACCTGATTTATTCCCTTTGACACGATGACGTGTGAAGTCTTCCTACCTTTCAGCCTGGGCCGAAATGACGGGATTGCCTCCACATTTATTTCCTTTTTTGTTTTAATTTTTCGCTTCACTCTCCCATCCCCGCGTCCGTTATTCTTACCGGTCCGCGACAGCGACGCGGCACGAAATGATGGGATTGCCCTTTGACGTTCATTTCCTTTTTTGTTTTCACTTTCCCTTTCCCGCATCCGTTTATTTCTACCGGCACGCGAAAGTGACGGGAGCTTTTGCCTCAGTACGCGTTATCTGATATGAAACTCGAATGTTGGCATCCGGCAGGCGAAGTTAAAAGCCTAATGTACCATCATTATACCAATAAAGTTTCTGTATTGCCATTGCGTGCAAGGACGACTGAGATTAGAAGGATAATTAGACAGCTCATATAATTGATATTGAAAATTTTCTGCATAATTAAATATTGTAACATAGCAATTTAATATTTTTTTAATATTATAAATGATGGTATAAAATTATAATATAAAACATTAAAATAATATGTTCCAAATATTTTGAATTCATTTCTTTTTTAAGTCCTAGAACTGATAATGCCAAATTTACAAGTGACTTAGGGCCAACGTTTGGAGCATAATA